ACAAACCATGCACTTCATGAGACACTGAACTACTGTTTTCCACCTGGTTGCCTCCATCCAGTGTTTCTCCTCACAAATCAAAAAACTTGGTGTAAGTATTAACTGAATAAAAGAAAAGTCACAAAACTCAGCCTTCCTGTAGGTTGCAATGCTTGTCACATCAAATTCCAGACAAACACTTGGCTTTTTTCGATAGCTGGAAGATTTAAAGTCCTCTTTGAAGCTACTGCCTGTGGGAGAAGCCCAGGAATACAGCTTTCCATCAAGGGAGTGCCAGAAAGTCAGCAACAAAGCAGAAAAATCTTCTGTATCTCCAGAATCCCATTGCACCAATACATTTAACACAAAAATGTTGACTTGGGAAGTACTTCTTCAAGGTACAGAAAGAAGTAAGCATTAGAACTTCCTGTGCACAGACAAAACACCAAAATATGAACTTAAAAGTAAATTTTGTAAAGTCCCAAAAAGTTTTACTTTTGCTGTTTGCCTGAATTTGTACACTGGATTTGTACATTGGAGTTTTCAATGTCACTTGCAGACCTCAAACCATTTGTTTCCAACAAGTGCTCTGTGGCTTGCTCATGTTGAAACTGCATTTTGGTAGGAACAAACTTGGGTTCATACACCAGCTTCCACACATTTTATCTTGTTCACAGCACGCCATACTTCATCTGGTTTAGCACCTGAGTGCAGGCCTAGTTTTATGACAGATACCAAATACGTTGTGAGATGCTGCTCAAGACTGTCAAGTCTGCTAGGATGTCTTTGGTACACCAGGAATGTGCCAGCTCACACCAAGCCAGTGCTCCTATCATTCAGCATGTATGGATAGACAAAGTTTGAGTGAGGCACTCTCTACACTTAGTTTCTTCCCCTGGTAAGCCAGTAGGCTCCTCTGACCTTGTGCTAACACACAGATGACCTAAAATTTGGGCATTAAGCCCAGGTCAAAACCTTGGGGAATATGCTCCCTAAAGCCACACCCACTACAATCAGAATTTGAATGCTTCAGACTTCAAGAAATACACCTTCCCTCACATCTAGTTTGCTCCCTTACCCCCTCTGTGGCTGTGGATTCATAGTTGCCCATCAACTTCCTCTCTCATTGTACTTGCATTTCAAAAGAAAGTAAATCTTCAGACACCCCTTGTCCTCCACCCCTATCGTACTTGCTTCCTGCTCTGAATTTATTTTCCGTGACTTGATTTCCACTCAGTGGACCCCACCCCGGTGCCTGTACTCACTCATTGCAATAGTTCACTGAAGCCAAGGCTTCTGCCCTCCATTTTCCTATCGCTTTCTGCTAGCAGTCTCTTCTTCATGCTGCTTGCTTGCTTGCTCACGTGAGACATACTCAGCAATGTAGAGAATGACAGTACATTATCAAACAGTAGAAACAATACAGTATCATGTCTTTAGTGTTTAAAATATGCTTTTCAGTTTTTGCAAGACAATGCTCCAGGTTCAAACACAGTATCTGTTTTTTTTCCAGGGTGAAAAGTAATCTGGCTTTCAGAATAAAAATGGGAAAAAAGTATTAGTTAATGGAAACATGAAAAAGAAACCTGTATATAATGAATGAATTCCCCCACTGGATCAAGGTGCTCAGTATAGATTCCCATTTCAACACATGGCCCTCTTATTTACCACAGTAAAAGTAATTTGGTTTTCTGATGTTAACAATACTTGCATTTTTATACAGGCAGTATGGGCTCTCTGACACCCAGACACCTACCCCGTGCTTCTTGTTCTATGGCCAGGTGAGATGGAGGGGTTACATTGGCAAGATCCTGCACCTCTCTCTCTCTCCCCATGTGTATTTTGATAAGACTTCTATAGTATGGTAACTGTATGTCAAGCATATTCATTAGCCTAAGCAGACTGTTCCTTCTCAGCCTGCCCGACAGAAAACCATGCCATTGCAGCTGCGTACATATTCTATCCAGAGCAAAACAGGCACATTTGGTTAGTGTAACAATTTTTTTATTTCAGTTACTTTTTCACATAAAACTTTATGTAAGCTACAAAAATCGTGAAATGCAGAAATGGTATTAAAACTGCAAACTTAAAAGTTTTGATAAAAAAAAAAAAAAGTGTCTTTCCCTGCTAACAATGACCATTTAAAACGAACCATATTTTGATGGACTCATTTAATAAACATACCATACACTTCTCAAAAATAAATAAAGAACAACATCAGAAAAACCAATACCATCAACAACATGAAGCATTTAGTTGTCTTTTTTTTTTTTCCTTTAAAGACAGAAATTAAATTTCTAGGCACAGTTTTAGGCATTATAGAGGACACAGAGGCAATAGGTTAGTGTGCACAGCTCTGTACAAAAATACAGTCTGAATAAATTACATTGCTAGCCATAAGATTAGACTTCACTTACCAGTCAGTTCATTGCATGTTTAATAATATACAGTTACATGCTAATCCATATATATAATTTATATTTCAAACACATAGGTCTCTCTATATTTGTTTTTAAAATTTACAAAAGCTAAAGGAAGTTGTGCAAGAAATCCAGAAGAGGTGCTAGGTACTTGTCAGCACCGGACGGTAAACTTCAAGCTTAAAAAATACAAATAACTAGCCCTGCTTGCAAGTTTGCTATATATATATTTATTCATATGTATCTGGAGGAAAAACAATGGATTTGTTGTGTGAAAGACTCATCCTGCCAGTGAGATAAAGCCAAACAACTGAAACAATGGTGGCATGACAAAAACACAACATACAAAATGATTAACCTGGTGTATGCACACTCAAGACAGATATGTATCCTTTTTGTGGCTAGAAAAAAAAAAAAAAAAGCATAATGTTGTATTTACTTTTAATTCAGTGCTGAGAAACAATGCTTGCCAAAACTTGCAATAGTAAGAGGGACAAAAACAGAAATGGCAGTAGCAACATAAGCTAAAGGTAAGTACCTAAACCTATATACTAGATGCTCAAACACAAAGGACCTGAGGAGTTTGAGAGGTGGATCCTAATAGACTGTATTATCTTCAAGAGGAAAAGCAGCTGTTGAGACCAAAAAATCAGCTTTTCCACTCAAATACGAATGATGAACCTTATCTTCAGGCATTCACGTTTTTAAATTTTTTGCCTGAACACCTTTCATATTAACAGCCGGGTGACTTTCAGAGCGCATGCCATTGATTTGCATATGCCTTAAGCCTAACAGTTGTTTTCGCTCAAACTCTACATGAAGAAAAATGATTTAATAAATTAGTGGATACAATATGGGTTCAGCACTGTATCTTCTCATCAGCATAGGCAAAGTGCCACGCAATGTCAGCGACAAAACACTGTCCTCCTAGAAAGGTACAGACATCTTCTCACAGTGGGTTTTTCTATGTTAACCTAATTCTCATGCCAAACTACAATGTTCTCCATGCTGCTAAATAAAAGCAGAACCACACAGCTGTTCAGAAAAATGCAGAATTAACTATATACTGAATATCTGCCTTAAGTCAGTCTCAGGAAAAAAAAAAAAAAGCAGAGTTACAAACACTCTCTGGTGCCTGTGAAACAAGTGGACATAATTCTTCTTCCCATCCTTTTTGTTCTCCAGGCATTGCCATACAATCCCTTTCAAGTCAAGCTATCGTTTTGCTCTAAGCTAATTAACCACCACTAGTGCTGGAAAGACTGCTGATATGGAATATTCTGCCATGGTAGTAAAGATTTAACTCCAAAGAGCCCCAGAGTTTTATAAGTCATCTCTGTACATCAGCAACACTTTCACAACCACCTCCTAAAGGTAGCCATGTGGTCCCATGGTTATTGCAGAACCTCTGTGCCCTGCAAACAGTGGGACAAGTACTAACACTGTAGATGTGGTTTTAACATCGAGTAATTCAGCAGTCTTTTCCACGGAACCAGCAAAACCGTTTGTGTGGAGGTGGATGTGCAACCCCAGCATACCTGCTTTTGCAGAGGTCCACACAGAATATATTTTAAATTTCTCCATTAAAAAAAATAGTTATTTCTAAAGATTAGAATTGTATAAAAATATGTTAATAATTAATTGAAAATATCCAAATAAGCAAATCGTAAACAAAAATAAAAGTGATGCGGATTAAATTCATGTGAAAGTTCTCCCTATTTTATCTTGGGTTTCATTTCATGAATACAGTCTCTGGATGTTTTAAGTGGGAAACATACTAAGCAAGGAGTAATTAGAGGTACATAATCATCATCCAATCCATTATAAACTCAGCTTTTAAAAACAAGAGATGATCTCCTGCAGTGCTAATGTTTTAATATGGACATGATGGGATCTCAGCTGTATTCTTGATGATCAGAGACACTCATAACCTAAATAGATTTTTAAAAAATGGCAGTTTTTTCTTTGCAACAGCCTTAGAAAATAATTCTTAGTAAGTACTAGATTACACATGGAATAGCAAGTAGTTATTTTGTCCAGTTCTACCTTAACTTGATGTGAACTTTTAAGCATTTCCCATAACACAGAGCCTGTACAAGGGCATATACAGAAGACAAGCCATTTTATATTTATTTTGTAACACCAACCAAAATTCGGGGCACCAATCCAAGACTTTCAAGAATGTGTACAAAGTTAGCATTTTAACCCCTGCATCACAGCTCATATTACAATTTTAAGACGAATCATCTCTCTCCCCCTGCATTTATATTTGTAATGTATATATATATTCATTTATACTAACAAATACCTTTTAAAAATATAACTGAACTTGTTCCATATGCATTCTTTTGATGACAATGTTCAGAAGTTAAATGGGTACTTAGGACAACTACAATTCATTAATACAATTTAGATGCCTCAGGAAGAGATAAGGTCTCTTTTTACTCCCCTTTATATCCACTCTCCCAGCAAAATACTCAGAGCTGAGACAGCTTCCAGCTACACAGTCAGAAGCACATGTCTCCATGTTTGGACTTCCTTCAATAATCTGCTACAGCTGGCATGGTGATGTCGATTACCAATTTATGAAAACCTGTGTGGTTGTTTTTTTTTTTTTTTGCTGTTGTTTGGGTTTTTTTAATTCTCCTCCCAGAAGACCGCTGAATGCAGATATTAGACAAATCATCCACTTACATTCACTGCCCTCTACACAGTCACTTGCAACTAATTCCTTAAGAGCTTTTTGGAGCAAGTAACAAGGGGTCAATACAGCCTATTGTACAAGACGCCACTGCCTGCTTATCAGACATCTGAATCCTCTATGATACATGGAAACTTCTAAATGGAGCCTATACCAGCTGCCCCCCTGAAGGCAATAGCAGATGCTGGCATTGCATTCTCATTCCAACTAGTTTCCTCAAAATGATCACTGTCACGTAGATCCTTTTGCTTGTTGTCAGAAAAAATGAAGCTTATGTATCAGCAGCTTGCAGCATCTGCCTATGTAAGATCAGCAATCCTAGTGTTTGCAGTTCATTGAAATGGTTGTAGAAGCTGGTTACAGTGTTCACACCCGAAAGGCAAAGGCTATTTTATCAACAGAGCAGACTGTTTGGTGCTCCACAAGTGTTCTAAAAAAACTGTGAGTTAGAAAAGATGGGGTAATCCTTTTGATATTTTTTCTTTTCATTAAATGATTCTAGTAATAGTCTTCATAGTTCTTAGGGTTCAGGCAATAAAGAATGGCACCCCCAAATGAAAATATAGTTGCACCCCAAGCCAGGCCATAGCCCCAGTTGAACTCATGGTATATTTTCAAGCTGACTGTTTCGATGAACTTGATTGGGTAAAGGACTAGGCTGCACACCTGAAGAACAACTGAAAGAGAAAAGAGACCCAAATGTCAGAAGGATCCTTAGTTCATTTCCATAAAACAAGGAAAACATCACATAACTGAAATTCACATTTAAAATGCTCTTGGTGCATTTTTAGCCTGTAAGTACTGCTCTTTTTGGAAAAAAATATCACCTTCATTTAATTTACAGAGAACAGAGCAGTTCTTCCATATTCCCTATATTCCCTTGTTGATGAACAAATGTTATTGCCATGGTATAACGATGATGCTTCATATGTCCATGAAATAGAGTGAAAGCAATCTTTTCCCAATTCTCTTCTGTCTCTCCTTTGTATTTTAGTTTGAAGTCATTATGCCTCCCATAACAACAATACTAAGATCACTTGTTCTTTAGCCATTATAAGTCAAATCAAGAAGCAAGCATAAACAACTATTAAGAAATATAGCTCAGAATCCAATCATTTACTTATCCTAGCAATAATTCATTGTAGTAGGTGATACATTATTTATGTTCAGTAGCGACTCACTGAATTACATATTTCATATGCATTACTGTGTACTGTAATCAGAATTAATGATATTGTTACACAGAATACCAAGGAATCTATAAAGTTTGATCAGTCACTAAACTTCCAACTGGCAAAATGTGGCCTTGTATTATGAATTTAGGGGATGTGTCAGAAATGCTTCATGATGAAAAAAAAAGTTAATAAAACAGATCAAATTCAAGGCAGTAAAATGCTTAAAAAAAAAATCACTACTTTCTACAGCACTGTCTCTGAGAGAGCCAGATCTGCAGCCTGATCCACACGTCTGCAGTGGAATTCAGCAAACCTGTTAATTATTCTGCTATATCAAAGAAACCCATATATAGTAACCTGAAAAGGAAAATACAGATGAAGAACCCCAATTTTCACAAGATTTCAGTTTCATCATTATCCATTCTCTTTTAAAATCAGGTGCACTGTTAACAGAAAATTGGGACAACAGTTTCCAAGGTAAGCAGGTGAAAATTACACTTGAAGACAAGAAGGTGCTGTATGATGTATTGGTTCTTCAAGCCTCTAAGTTCTCCCACCCACAGAAGACTGAACATCACAGGAATGTACAAAACATCCTTTTCGTCCCTCAAATATACGGCACGGCCTTACCACAATGCTCCCTTCCAGCATTTAACACTAGCCATTTTTAAAGACTTCGGCACGTGACTGCCTCGGCAAACTACCCCAGCCCCCTGGTTACAGGCAGGGTAGGCACATCCACATGGTTAAGCATGAGCTTAAGTATTTGCAGGCCTGAGACATACTCCGATTAAAGTTCAATGGTGTGCGATGTAATGACATAACTACTTTCTTTAACATTGACTGGGTCATTTTTTACAGTTTATTAGGTATTGTAAGAAGAACGAACACTATTTAGGGAATTGTTACAAAGCCAGCTCCAATACAAAAAGCTGGTGTATGATAGAGAGGAAGACTACTTTGGACTACAGAAGCTCTTCTGAAATTACACTTAGAAATTACAGGAAAATAAAGTAACATTAATTATAGTCTCCTACTGCTTGAACACCACACACTCAAAATCTGTCATTTGCTTTTTCATTCACACATGCACTCTCTAGTGTTGCCAAACTGGCACCTTTCATTAGCCCCGGAGACTAATGCTCACCTGTCTTCTGGATGGGATTAGTATGGGGAGATGATTTCCAATGTTCATTACACCCTCTGTGATAACACCACTTTACAAAACATCATTGAAAATTTCTCTGCCCACCCCCCACACCCCAGCCTACAGCCTAGTCTTTGGATTCTTACTTGAGACTGACAATCTGAATCACGTTTGGATAACGGATTTTCTGCTGTGGATTCCAAAATCCACAGGATTTTTTTCATCCTGAAGTTATTGAAGTGTTACTTTGTGTTATTCCATTTTAATACAATTTTTGTCTGGAAGCTCACAGAACACTGTGCAACACTGGAGAAATTTTGACAGGGTACACCAGGGAAAGTACCTACACTTATGAGAAGATTATGCATTCCAATTCCGTATAATGAGAGTGTCATTGTACCGCAAAACACCTAAACACATGCTCAACTTTCAGACACATCTTTAAGACCATTCAAAGTCAAAAAGGATTTACTAAGATGAATGGAAATAAGCAAATTTTTTAGTGGCTTCGTGAACTGGGGATGCAGTACCTCTGCTGACTCAATACAGAAAATTCTCTGTGTGCGTGTGTGCACATGCGCATGTGTGTGTTAAGTGCCAACCAAGGAAGCTCTCCATTTTCCCTCAGTCTAACATATGAAGTATGCTGAATTTTAATCTACAGATTGGACTTGTCAAAACAAAACAGAAAAGTGATTCTTTTGGAAGAGGAACATGTTGCTAAAGCAGCAACACCCACAACAGGTATTTTAGACATTTTTATAGTAAGAGTTCCTGCTTTTTCTACTACTGGTCCAGCTACACTATCATAAAACTCAGAGGAAGTGCTAGCAGCAATTAGCCAGTGGAAACAGCCACACACATAACAGTCATCACTTTGCACTGGTTTTGCCTCCTGTCGTTGTTTCTCCCTGTAGAGTGGAAAGGGACCTGTTTGGGCTAGAAACAGCGGTTAATGAAGGTATGAAAAGTGACCAGTATGGGCGAAAAAGATGTTAAAACCAATGCTTACAACTACTGATCTGCTTCTGATGAATTTAAAGGAACTCCATGCTATGTTGACCTGTTTTCGAGAAATGCGTGTACTACCTTTCTTCAGAAGTGCTAGTCTTTTCCCACATAAAAAAAGGCTGTAAAATAAACCTTAAAAAAATAAACCCCACTTCAAAATGCTACTCAAAAAAGACTAGTTATCTCAAACTAGACTATTCACTTCAAGTTTAGACCCATTTTTATGACTAGCACTATGATACTTGCAAGACAATTGCAAAAGGAACACTAGTTTTATTCCATTTATAAGTAATACGTGCAATTACATGTACACACCATATTAAACACTTCGAAATCACACAAATGCTTTAAAATTAGGAAAATATAATTTCAGTCATCTTTTTATCCTTGTTCAAATGTTTGACTATAGCAGTTTTGCTGTCCAAAAAATCCTTTATGGTGTAGCTTTCTAATTGGTTTATATTTATGAAAATGGTGGTGCTGGCTAGTAGGTTCTGTATGTCTGTTCTCTACACCTCTCCTGTTCATTCACACGAGTAAAGCACTTCATTAATAACCAATGGGTGTTGCAGTTTCAAAGATTAATACACATGCAACTGCCCTCTAGGAAGCTGATTGTACTTAACACAACCTGCGCAATTAATTGGGAATCAGCATGAAGGGCAAGTGGGTCCATGCTGGTTTTTAAAATACTGCTAGCTCAAGGGCAGGCACCTAACTACACAGGAAGACCAAGAATTTCAGCAGGAGGCCCAGCTGGCCAAATAGGGAGTTTCTCAATGAATGTGCAAGAAAGTGGCACACACAAGTAGTAAACAAAGACAGACAATGACAGGAGTATAAAAGCACTGTTTGGATACTTAGATACAAAATCAGGAAGGCTGAAGCCCAGATGGGGCCAAACATTAAGCTAGGAAATGGCAAAAGGGTAATGAAGAATTTCCACAGGTGCATTAGTTGCAAAATGAAGTTCAGAAAACATATTCATACAATGATGGACAGGAAAGCCAGCCTAGTGACAGATGATGCACCATGATGCCTTCTCCAAGACCTCTAAGTGACATGGTTTGGGAGGGTGTCAACAGTGGGGGAACAAGTTAGGGATGACTAAGGGTTGCATCCATATCTATGGGGACAGATGGGATTGACCTAAATGTGATAAAAGAGTTGGCCAATGTGATCACGAGCCTTCTATCATGTACAAAAAAATCACAAGGATCAGGGGATATTCAGATGACTGGGAAAAGGTTAATGTTGCAACCATTTTTAAAAAGGCTAGAAGTGAAAAGTCCACAGAATTATAGGCTGGTCAGCCTCAACTTAATCCCTGGAAACATTATGGAGTATATCCTCTTGGACTCTATCTCCAAGCACAGGCAGAATACAGCAGCAATCAGTAGTGAACATGAATTTACCAACCAAAGGGCAAGGGTCCAAAGAGCTGCCAATATAATCAGAATACTGGCGCAAATCATCCTTATGAGGAGGATGAGGGGAGCTAGGTTTATTTAGACTCATGAAGAGGTGACTAAGGAGCAATTTCAAACCAGCGTACAGTTACATGAAAATGTAGTTGCTACGATGACAGAAAAAACACTCTTCCTTGTAGTGCCAGGCAATCTAAGATAATGGTGATGGACACAAATCTCAGTTTCAGAGGTTCAGGATGGACATGGAGAAAAAAAAATATCATTAAGTTAGTACAGCACCAGGACAACATGCTCGGAGAAGTTGTGGAATCTTCATTCTTGGGAGTTCTTCAAGACTGGTCCAGACAAAACTGCAGTTGATTGACCTAGTGGTAGCAATTGTTCTGCCTCAACAAGAAGGTTGAGCTACATGACGTACAGAGTACCTTTCCTATCAATATCTGTTTGATGCTATGACTTTTTGCCACTGTTTAGCAACTTGCACTACATCCTACGCAAGCCAATCCTACTTTTTCAGGCCATTCCATCAATTTCTCAAAATCAAATTTTCCTCCAATGTATCTGCAATTTTTTCTAGCTTCACTGTAAAATTTGACAAGCAGACTTTTATTCTATCATTCACATCATTATATAAATAGGTAATAGCACAGAACTCCAGGTACAATCTAGTTGGACTGTGATCTGACCGGCAGAACAAAAAGATACATCCTTTTAAGTATTCTCCAAATATTATCTGCCATAATTTTTTTTTTAACTCTCTTACCTATAATACTTTTACTTAGCCGCTGTTTCCCTAGCTTACATCTAAAAGCATCCCGTGAAATGTGTTAAAAGCTTACTAACCTCAATAGGTTATTCTTCTAAACATTGTTAAAATTTTAAAATAGCCATAGAAGACAAACATCTTTTAAATTAGCTTTTTTGTTTGCTTTTATGGACTTTCAACAACTACACTTTCTACCCCTAAATTAAGACTCATTTAGCACTCAGTTATCTGACAAACATATCATGAGACTCCTACACTGACAAATTTGTGAGCTTGTACTTTGATGATGAAGCTTTCAGGGCCGGTTTGGTTCACGAGCACTAAGACACCCCAGCAAGTACATAAGCTAGTGACCTCTACTAGACCAAAAATGCTGGGAAAAGCTGTATGAGTCAAGGTGGATCCATGCAAGAGTACCCTGCAACTGCCTCTCTGTATGCTCCAAGTTATTCCATTACCTGAGGTACTCCTGTTCCTCTCTCCATTACACAGAGCTGACAGTATGTATTTTAAATACATTCGCATCTGTTGATCAGTTGCTGGCTTATTCTCAGTACCAAGGTTGAATTCTTTTTTTTGTCCCTTTGCTTTCTCATCTCTTCCAGTCCTACTCAGCCAATCTTCTCCCTCAACTACAGAGTCACTAACTGAAACATCAAGCTGTGAAAAAAAAAAAAAAAAAGAAAAATTAACAAAAATAAATCAAAACTAGAAGAAATAAATTCCTGGAGCCAACTGTGCGTACTCTAAAGTGCCTGGAAACCACTTTTCCATTTTGTTCTTTCTCCCACACAGTGAAGTTTTCTACCTGACTCCCACACAGATCTTTAAATGTCTCTGGGCAATTCATCCTGTGTCCTTAGAGAGGCAGCTGGTAGACTTCCAAGCAGAGTAATACAGCATATTTGGTCTTGTCAGCAGATTCACAGGTCAGGGTAGGGTTTTTCCTCAAAGATCTTCTGTGAAACACACAGGTGAAGGTTTGAATCCATGGACAGTTACATACAGCACTGTGCTGCAATCTTAACTTTTCCCTCTTCAGTAGGAGAGATTCTTTCCATAATTCCTTCAAGACATGCCAGTCCATATTATCTCTAAAAATAACTGACATAAAAGATGAAATCTGTAGGAAATGACACTAACAATGCCAGGGTCAAATCCCGAAAGGCTTCTCCTCAGATTTGCCAGGTAATGAAGAAGAATGAGTCAGGCTGTCTTGGCCTCATCATTTCTCTTCTTCCTACATGCTTCAGGTCATGGCTATTTAAAATGCACATGCAAACACACACAGAGGCAAAGGGAAGAGGTGAACACCACTCATGAACTAAAGCACTAATATATTTTCATTTTTGGTGCAAGTAAGCATTACACACTCCCACCCCCAACCTTTTGCTGTAAAGACTAAAACTAATTTTATGCAGAGGAGAACAGATTAAGCTTTAAGGCAAACAGCAGGATTTTTTCTTGGGAAAAGTTGGGGGTTTTTTAGTACAAATTTAACTATATACTAAATGAACAATATGGCAAGACAGGCAGTGTATGGCTGAATAATTACTAAATTACTACATAATGTGATGAGAAATTAAGTCAAAAACCAAACAAGAAACACTACAGAAATTCAATAATCTCATTTCTTTCAAAGTTAACTGCCCAGCATGATTTATCATCTCAGAATTAATACTAAATTTTAAAATAATGGCACCAGAACCCTTACTCGTTCAACCAAGCAAGCAATGCGACACACAGAAAAAAAAGATACAATTTCCACTTCGGAAATCTGATGCTAGGTTTCATTAATTTCCTAAAAGCAAATGAAATACAACCTACCGATATTTCTTGGGCAAATAAAGTGCATCTTGGAGAGCTGAGGCTCAAGCAAGGTAACGTTAACAGCAGGGGGCAGCAGGAGCCTTCCCCGGAGCTTTGTTTCCCTCCTGAATACCCTGCAAATTCTGCGCGCTTATCTTTTCATATCCTTGTCAGTGGCTTTTTTTTTTTTTAATACATCCCAAAGACTAGGTTCTGTCATCCTCTTCATTATGGGCTATCAGAAAAGGCTTAAGCTGATGGCTCCAATGCAGATATGAGTGACAGGATGAAGCTAAACCACGCTTGGTGAATCTCAGGAGAAACAGAAATATCTGTGCTGACTAAGCCTCCAAACATCAGAATGTACAAAAGGAGATGATTTGATATTGCAATTATACCTCACTGGATCAGCCTTATGGACAATTCAGATTCACAGGTCTCCCTTATGATTTTGTGATAGTTTATATAAACTGTTCCATTTTCACGTTTTCAAAACCAAACAGGGACTTCACTGTGACAGGCTGTTAAATTAATACCTAAGCAAGCAAGATGATACAATGAAATTTATTCCTCATGACACAGGGGCATATATAAACACCTTGCAACATAATCCTATTTATTTTCACACATAGGGCTTCAAGGGTTCATGGGTTCACATTTGGGCATTCTTTTTCCTGTTTTAAAACTATAAAAGGAAGAACATTAAAATAACAGAAATGGCTTTGCATGAAGAATAAAAACGGGGACATCAAGCAGCACAAAGTCACAGATTAAAAATGGCACTTTGAGATTTACCCTCTGTAGTTTCCCCACTGCATGTACTTCACAAAACAATAAATACAATGCAAATAAAAAACTGTTTATGAACTAATAATTGTGTCACGGCAAAAATGATTAATGCCCTGCAGAACCGGTATCCTGAAAAACCTCACTGGAGATAAAGCAGAGGTAAACCAAATGCCTCTGAATTAGTATGCAGAACAAGGCATGTATTCCTTCAGAAAAGTGAAGCTGCTCCCATGAAATTTTCACAATGGTACCGGTAATCTGCTTACCTGCAGCAAAGAGCATGACTGCAACTGGTCTGTAAAACCGCCTCCGAGATCCCACGCAGATAGAGATCAACCCAACCAGGAAAGCTATGAGAATAATGGCAGCACCACCCAACAGCAAAGCAAGAGTAGCTATCTGCCAGTCTAGGGGCAAAAAAAGAGAGGGGAAAAAAATAAGAATACAATTTCAGTAAAACAAGTCCATAGGCCTGACAGAAACAGCAGAATATGAGGAACACAGAAGCTGCATCAAGGCTTGGGTAAACAACGGTGCTTTGGATTTCTTTTCTCCTCATTAGTGAAACATTTTTATACAACAGATGCAACTCAGGAACAAAGTGCCACAACCTCCCACACTTTTTCAAGGCTTAGCTGGCCTCGCTGGGATTTTGGCTCGTGTAAAACCAAATAATTTGGTCCCCCAGTTTCTGTGCAATTTAGAATGAGAAACTGAGGTTGGGTCAGGATTAGCGAGCATGTGTTAGCTGACCTCCAGTCTGTCATAACTTTCTCACTGAAGAGAGTGAAAATCAAACCTCTGCTTGAGCTGATTAGAATGACATAGGAAGGGAAATGCATGGAGGCTCATCATATACACCTGTCACTTGGGAAGTACCAAAGCCACATAATATGAATAACAAAAGTAAGGTAAAGGAAGGAGATGCTCAAAGGAATAATAAAAAAAAATAAATTTCAACATTAAAAAAAAAAAAAAAAGGTGGAAGTCAAGCCCTTGTAAAGGCAGTTACAATCATTAGATGCAGACTGAGTCAAATCTGAAGTCCATTTAAAAATGTCCATTATCCTAAAGTGTCAGTTTTTCTCTTCCTCACCCAAAAGCAACTACTGGATTTGATCCAGTCTACTTTCTAGTTATTTTCACACATAATGGATGCAGCTATAAACAACATCCTTGCAGTCTTCAATCACATAAAACAAAATCAATTTCCAAGCTGATGGTCATCATGAGTCTGTACAATATTCAAGATTTAACTTAAGAGCTTCTGTAGCATTTTAGAAAGGCATAAGCTTTGTGCTGTACCTCTTGTAAAAGAGTATATAAAGACTTTGTCTCTCTCCAATAACAGACATCAAGAAAAAGAATCAGATCACTATTTACTGTTTAACACTACTATTTAGCAGTTCGCGGAGGATGAACTAAAATTAGCTTGTGGGAAAAGGACGTATGGATCCAATGAATCTCTCATTACTTTGAAAACACTAGCACTCCTACGATATTCGGAACAAAGTGTCCTAATGCATTGTATAGTCTAAAGAAAATAAGATTAACTATTTCCAAAATAAATTTAGAGATCTTAAGGTTACTAAAATCAGAACAATAAAAATCCACATTTTCTTTCTGAAAAGATCAGAAGTCAGTGTTTTAAAGAACAGTACATCCAGTTTCAAGAGGCATCTAATCTGCAGAAGATACTGACAGTGCAGCTGTGGGGTTTGAGAATGGAAGGCTGGCAGCTATTATCACCAAAAAGCCTTCATATATTATATGAAAAAAGGATGAAGGGGATTAAAAGAAGAAAGTGAATAGAGGAGCTATAAAAGCATTGCTAAAAAGGAAAGTTATTTCAAGGCGTTTGTGCAAGTACACACACTTATTGTCACTCTCTTAAAAAATACAGGCATGTTTTTTACTAATATTTAATTACTAAGTAATCAACCTTCCAAACTATTTTACTCCTTGTTTTCTTACGGAACCAAAACCCAAGACTGGGAACAACCTCTCATTCTCCTACTATCAGCATGCAATCTCTAATGTCAGTTTGCTGTCTGTCCCACTGCTTTACTATTATTGGGATGGAAATACAATTTTAGTTATGGATGGGAATGTTATGAAGAGTGGTTTTTAATGTTGACATGGTCCTTCATGAACACTAAGTGGTTAGTGTACTGATGATTTAGAAAGTATTCTTCCAATATCAGAGTGCATTACAGATATAAAATACAGAAATAAATAAACAGAATGGACCACTTTGGAACAACATGAAAGGAATCCTTGCACTGGAAAATTACATAGATACAAAGAATAGACACATAAATCTGTATTGCGCCAAAGTTAAAAGCCATACAAAACTGATGAAATAAATCAAAGTGCCAGATAGGAAAACTCAGAAACTAAGATTTTTGAAATCCACTACAAATAATAAAATATTAAATGTTATCTTCACATTGATCAGATGCCAAAGTCTAATACAAACAAAAGGTGTGCAACATTGGAGTAGCAACTAAACAGAAAAAAAGTTGAGTATCCTATTGCTTTCCAAAACCACATTGGCAAGACCACCAAACAAGTGAAATAACTAAGGCAAAGATGACATAAGCGTGGGGTTAGAATATAGTTTAACTTCCAGGACAGATATATCTATGGATTTTGGAAAGGTCAAAAAATAAACAAACTACCTTACTATAGTACTGATGTGGGAGGTAAAAGGCCAAATGAGTGTTGGAAGACACCCACACACCCAACTAGAAAAAGAACTGACTTAGTTAAAATTATTTTATTGAGTAAGAGAACCTACTCAGTGATGTTGACAGTAGTACAAAACCAAGGCTTTTAATGTTCCTCACCGCTAGCTGGGGATCAGGTGTTGAACATTGTGCTCTGGGACACAGTGTCTGGAATTGCCTCTTTATTTTAGCTCCAGCCCCCACTCACAGAGGCACACAGTGCTACCAGCCTTTGCCTTCAGCTGCAGCTGAGAGGGATTCTGGTTAAAGACAATCACTAAGGTTAGACATTAATGCACAAAGAATACTGGACTGAATTTTCCTACATTGCCTACCATGGAAACTACATGTTTAAATCTCCTTGTCATCTTAGGAAAAAACATAACTTTTAATTCTGAAAGCCTTTTTATCTGTTGACAAATAAAACTTATGTTGGATCAAAGAAGTAAAATCTTCTGCATGGGCCTTCTACTTAACAGCAATTATTTTTAAGAAAAAATCCAGGCCACTGGGCTTCATACAAAAGAAAAGAAGCATCCAAAGAAAACTGAATTACTACCTCTGAAGGAAGAACACCCTGTAAGTCAGCTACAACAATGTAACCACATACAGCAAACAGTTTTCTACAGAAAAAATCTGTAATGTACCTCGGACTCCCCACAAGTGATTTGTAACACACAGCATCAAAATGGGAACAGCAGATTGCTCTGTTACATAGTGTACACAGAACATAAACATCATAAGCCTACTTTAGCGTATCCAAAATATGCTTGCACCATTTCTATGCACGCACAAATCTTGCAAATAAGTTACTGTATTCTGTTGAGGAACCTCAGCAGTTCAGTGAGACTGCTTGTTCTCGCAGAGATAGAAACATACATAAACGTGAGTAAAATAGGACCTTATATATGATAATTATTAATTTTCCAGATTCAAAACACAATTTGGTTAGACTTTAACAATGCACATTAGTATATTTAACTGTACATCACTACAGTTCATTTATACTACACAACCACTCTCTAAGAGAAATGTTAGGAACTAGTAAAATCACACTTTCATAAATCTTAATAAACTTTTAGATTTTAAAAATCACTGTCTTCGCAGTCATGCCCAAATTAAGTTTTCTGTTGGTTTATAACTGTAGAGGCAACAGCATAACTTTAGATTTTTTTCATTGTTCCACCATTTTAGTACTATGTTAAGAATGATACTGATACTGTCACCTATCCCATCCAAACAACTAGAATTAACACATTTTTGACAATCATTAAGTAACTAGAGACAGATTTCTTAATAAAAGCCTCACTTAATGTGTACTATTTTTAGGTCTGAAAATCCAAACGTTTTTGCACTGCAAAAGAAGCATCACAAAGTCTACAGCCATGAGAAATATATACTTCAGTTGTGACAGTGATGATAGTGTTTGCATAATTTCTATTATAACAATCTGCCTATTAGTTTAAGGATGTGGATTTCAATGTTTGGAAATATATATAAATATGAACCTAGGTACTTAACACATATTTTCAAAACATGTACGGTGCAAAATTTATTAAAATTACCGTCACCCGTTAATAAAAAAAACAAACCAAAACAAAACAAAAAAATCCAAACCACAATGGTAATGCTTCTTTTCAGTTAATTCCTCATATATAAGTCAGTGCCTTTTTGTAAGGACAGCTTGGTCTCATTGCTCTTTGGAAATTCTGCCTGTTTCTTAATGATATGGAAGCACAGTGTTAATTGCAGACTGAAATGTGTGACTCTCCTTCCTTCTTTCCCACAAATGACATGACCTAAGGATTTAAGCTGTATATTCATTTTCAACTAAGAGCAGCTCTATGTGCTCTATTTTTGGGAAAATAATGCTTCAGTACTAGGATAAAATCAGGAAAAGCCATAAAAGAAATAGAAAACATCTCGAATTTCTGAAATGTTTATTTTAATAACTAGGTCATTGTTTAACATGAGAAAGAGTAACACAAAAGGCTGGCACTGTCACAGATTTCATGCTTTCAGCAAGTTCCCCCCTAACTATTTTATCTACATAGTATTCTACAGTAAAAGGAGTGGTGGACATAAAAACATACTGTGGAATATGTGAAACGTTTGTTTATAGGGCTCTTTCAGATAATGCAAGTGAACTGAATTAATCTCTTAAGAAACAATCAAGTATTCCTTTCCGTAATACAATGGTTCTCCACCAAGTCCTCTCCTCGTAAAGGCTGAAGTAAGAAAATGCATGCAGCTCTTACATGATGAAGGTAACGACTGACCTTCTTCTAGCACTTAACAAAACCTTGGTAAGAAACAAAACAAAACACTCAAGTAACTTTCTCATTCATTGCAAAGCTTCCACTTATCATGTACCTGCCGTGAGCCAATACATATTCTTAGAAATTGCAACATAGCATTTAAATAATTCAAGAATAATTAATTTGAAAGAATATGTCAAGTAGAGCATAGGAAGTTAAGGCACCCACACATAAGAAATTAAATATAACCCACTGAATGTCATAACAATCAACTAAAATAAATAACACAGAGATATTCCTAATTGCTTCATATTCAAAACTATTTCTAAGGTTATAAACAGTCATCAACTTAGCCACCAAGTAGCCAACAGAAGTTTAAAAAGTGTAGTGACTATGTGAAAACATAAAGGTAGAACCTAG